TGGCCATGTGTTTCCATCAAACTTTAAAGGACTTTTATAACTACCAAACGTTCGGATTTTAGCAATAGGCAAGAACAATCCTTACTTCACTCTAATTATATACATGCATGCATTAGAATGACTATTTTTTCTTCCACGTGCACTCCTCTCTCTAATTCCATGCATATATGCACTAAAGAACGAAAAGCTGATGTCATCTTAAATTCTTTCTTTTTTTCAAACTTCAAAATGTTTTATAGCTCAAACCGTCGCCCCGATTGAAAACCCGTCTTCACAAAAAAAATCGTCTCGACGAGATCTTCGAAACTAGATCCCATGTTGATATGTTCTGATGAATTTGTTTTGGAACAAAAGTTACCACATCCGGGCACGTGAGTTATCACGTCTGCCATACATAAGTTACCGTGTCATTTACACAAAAGTTTCAGGGGTATATTTTCAACAAACTTTTATCCTAGGGGTCAAAAAATGATTATGATGTTTGCAGTGAGTTATCAGCTTTGTTGTGTATATTACCATGTTGCACAAAAGTTATCGGGGACATCTTTTCCAACAATTTTCATTTCCTCGGTAAAAAAATTACCGCGGTATATGTATATGAGTTATCAGCTCTCATATGCGTGTATCATCATATTGTTTACACATGATTTATTGGGGGAGGGGGGGTATTTTTAACAACATTTTTTCATGTTATCAGCTCATGTTATTTACACGAGAAGTTATCGGTGGTATGTTTTCAACAAAAAAAATTCACGTCAAAGTTATCGTGGTGTTTGTACCTAAATTATCAGGACCATGAACCTATATTATCATGTTATTTACACAAAACGTTATCATAGTGTTATTTACACAAAAAAGTTATCAGAGTATGTTTCCAATAACTTTTTTTCACGGGTCAAAGTTATCATAGTGTTTGTACCTAAGTTATCAGGTCTGGAAGCCTATATTACCATGTTATTTACACAGATGTTACCGGAGTATGTTTTCAATAACTTTTTTCTACGGGTCAAAGTTATCGTGGTGTTTATACCTAAGTTATCAAGTCCGGGAGTGTATATTATCATGCTATTTACAAAGAAGTTATCGGTTGTATGTTTTCAACAAAAAAAATTCATGGGTCAAAGTTATCGTGGTGTTTGTACCTAAGTTATCAGGACCGAGAGACTATATTTTCATGTTATTTACACAAAAAAGTTATCAGAGTATGTTTTCAACAACTTTTTTCGTGGGTCAAATTATCGTGGTGTTTGTACCTAAGTTATCAGGTCCGGAAGCCTACATTACCATGTTATTTACGCAGATGTTACCGGAGTATGTTTTCAACAACTTTTTTCCACGCGTGAAAGTTATCGTGGTGTTTATTTCTAAGTTATCAAGTCCGGAAGTGTATATTATCATGCTATTTACAAAGAAGTTGTCGGTGGTTATGTTTTCAACAACTTTTAGCCACGGGGCAAAGTTATCGTGATTTCTGTACCTAAGTTATCAAGTCCAGGAGCCCGAGACATGCATTAGTTGCGTGCTCTTGGTCCTGAAATGGAGAGAAACATGCTACCATTATGGGAGCAAGGATTGTGTGCTCCCATTTCAATCCTCTTAATTTTCCAGCCCATTATTTACATTCCTCGGACAAGGTAGAAATGGGAGCAAGACAACGAGACATACTACTATAATGGAGAGACACAATAGCGTTTTTAATACTATATATGGAAACTGCCTATTGTAACCAACAGGCTATTTAAAAGCATAAATTAGGGGCAAGACAGCAGAAGTAATTTAAGTGAGCTGGTTAATACCTAAAAAAAAGTGAGTTGATTAATGGGCAGAGCTTAGTTATGAGAGACTCAGGTCCGAGTCCAAAGGCACCCCACACACACATCATTTTTTTCCCTAGTTTCTTGGATGTACATGCAAAAGAGCAGTGATACGATAAAAGGAGATGTAACATATCCCTAATCATAGATAATAGTTAGCTTGGTTGGTTAGCGATAGCAGAATGCATGTTGCAGGTGCAAGGATTGAATCCCATCGCGGGTCATTTTTTTTGCTAAAAATTGGAAAGCGAGCCGAAGATGGAGTGCTCGAGCCAAACTCGTTCGGATCTATCGACAAGGCGAGAACGTTCGGAAATTACAATTTCCGATTGCCATAATGTTTATACAAAAGTTATCGGGGTACATTTTTGACAACTTTGTTCCTTTAGGTCAAAGTTGTTGTGGTGTTTTGTGCCTAAGTTATCATGGTTGCCATGCAAAAATTACCGTGGTGTTTAAACATAAATTACCGCGGGATGTTTCAATAATTGTTTCACCCTCAATCGAAGTTACCATGTCATTTATACGGAAGTTATCGGGTCCCACTGTCCTCTTTTTTGGAGTATTTAACCAAAAACTATCACATTTCATGGAAACGTGTCGCAAAACTACCACTTTACGATTTTGTGCAAAAAACTACCACTTTTTTTCTAATCCATGGCAAAAACTACCATGTCGTGAAATCGCTCGCTTCGCCTGCGCTAAGCACGAATCTGACCGGTTGGGCCCATGAACTAGGTGCCACAGTGGCCAACTGTCGCCCGCCGCGGGTTAACGGACATTAACGGGGCATTTGCGGTCGGAACCTTCCCCGCTCTCTGGCCGTCGCCAGCACGCCATGCTCCCGCTTGCCGCCGCAAGGGCCTGCCTTTCCTTCCCGGCGCCGCCCCGAGACCCCAAACCCCAGCGGCACCTCCCTCCCCCTTCCCCGTCGCCGCTCCACCGCCACGTGCCTAGACCCGCAGGATCCCCCTCCTCGGCACCTCCTATGGCGGCCGCATCCCGAGGAAGGCCGACCGGCGCCAAAGCACCGGCAGCGGCAGCAACAGATCCCCCCGCGGCGGCGGCGGCCTGTTCGACACCGGGGCGGCCGACCCGGACGGGCCGAGGGGGAAGAGGGACGAGAGGAGGGAGCGGATGAGGACGAGGAGGGAGGAGCAGGTGAGGACGGCGAAACTGGATGTGCTCGGCTCGGCGTGAACTCCGGCGCGAAATCTGACTCCGGCGCGGACGAGGCTAGCGCACCGTTAACAACAGTTAACGCGCGGCGGTGACGGTTGGCCACGGTGGCATCTGGTTCGTGGGCCCAACCTGTCAGATTCGTGCTTAGTGCGGGCGAAGCGAGCGATTTCGCGATTTGGTAGTTTTTTGCCACGGATTAGAAAAAAAGTGGTAGTTTTTCGCACAAAATCGTAAAGTTGTAGTTTTTCGACACGTTTCCATGAAATGTGGTAGTTTTTGGTTAAATAATTTCTTTTTTGCGAGAAAAATCAGCCTAACCTGTATCAATAAAAGAAGCCTAACTTATATCTAATCACTAGTACTGTATTAGCTCACATGGCAAGCGAGCGTAGGACTGAGCCTTAGGGCATCTCCAGCCGCGCCCCCAGGAAGGCCTCCCCAGACGTTTTTTTCGCGCTGGCGCCGAGAAAACGGCCCAGTCGCGCCCCAGGAGCCCGATTTTCGCCGGCTTGGGCCGAAAACAGCGCCGGCGGACCCAGCCCGAACCCGACGCGCTGGGGGGCGCCGGGGCGAGCTGTTTTGGCGCGAAAAAGACGCGGGCCAGCCGCGTCAGCGACTCGGCGCCTCGTCTTCCCCCAACGGCCTCGGTTTCCCGCGGGGAACCAATGGCAAGGCTGCCGCCGGTCAGCCTTGCCATTGATTCCTCACGGGCAGCGCTTCACGGGGCGGCGCGCCGACGCCTCCCTTCCCGCGCACGCGTACACACGGGCGCGACCCGGCTATAAAAGCCAGCGGCCTCCACTCGCCTATGCCCAGACCAGTCCCCCCTCGCTGCCGTCCAACCCCTCCCTCTTCCTACCTCTCCCGAGCGCTGCCCTTCGGCCCCTCCCTCTACGTCTCCCGAGCCCGCCCCGCCCCGCTGTTGCCATGGCAGAACGCTTCCCCGGAGACGAGGCGGCGGCCAACGGCTTCGGCCGCCGTTCGCTCCGCGAACAGGAGTCCTGGCTCCTGTTCCAGGTGAACATCCCGGTGCCGCCGGACATGCGCGCCGGGCCATCGGGGTGAAGGCTCAGCGC